CTCTCTCTCTCTCTCTCTCTCTCTCTGTGTGTGTATCATACCCACTCTTCTTCGTGGATATGGCCACCCAGCTGCTCCATCTATCCCATTCGCAGACCACGTGACCCATTTCTCCCGCGTCCTTCACTGGTTCATTCAGCATGATGGCTGCGGATGCTGCGGATGCTCTCCGCCGCATCCTGCATCCGCGCCGGCTCTCCATCCTCTTCATCGCCGTCACCCTCTCCTCTCCGCCGGCCCCGACGCAAGCGCTGCTCGGCGTCCGGCCGGAGGACACCCAGAGCGGAGAGCTGTCCGTGCAGGACGGGATGCTGAGGGCGACCGAGGGCACCCGCTTCATGCTGAGGGTTTACTACTCTGCAGCATCCGCAGAGCATCCAAACAGCCTGAACATCACCGGCAGACCCGACAGCGCACCCGCCGCTCCGTGGATCGCGTTTATAGAGGAGCCAGGCGGGGACAGCAGCGCGGACGCGGAGAGGAGGCTGCGCTCCAGAGGGAACCCGTGTGAGGAGGAGAATGCCCGGAGCTCTGATATCGAGCTGCTTGGTTCTTTCAGATCAACATTAAGTCACAACTCAGTTCTGGTGGAGCTGCTCGCTAAAGACCTGCGCAGAGGAGAGGTGATCAAACACTACTCCATGTGCGCCTTCGATGGAGTGAAATGGGAACATTTCAGCACCAAAGACTTCTGGTTGGCGGTGGTGGAGAGACCCCCGGAGGCAGATGTGTGGCTCCAGGCGGGTGTCTCGGTGCTCCTGTTGGCGCTGTCAGCACTCTGCAGCGGTCTGAACATCAGCATGCTGGCTCTGGACCCCGTGGAGCTGCGGGTCCTGCAGAACAGTGGCACAGAGAAGGAGCAGAAATACGCGCGGAAAATAGAGTCAGTGCGTAAACATGGTAACTACATCCTGTGCACTGTGGTGCTGGGCAACGTGCTCACAAACACATGCTTTGTGGTGTGGATGTGCCAGATTTTAGGAATGACTGCTCTCTCAACTGCCTTCTGCACTTTGGGAATCTTCTTCATTGGAGAGATTTTACCTCACTCCTTAGCGTCCAGGCACAGCCTCGCCATCGCCTCCAAGACCCTCTGCGCGACCCGTCTGCTGATGCTGCTCTTCTTCCCCATCGCCTACCCGGTCTCCAAGATCCTGGACATCATGCTGCACCAAGAGATCAGCAGCTTCTACACCAGGGAGAAGCTGGTGGCCATGCTGCGCGTCACGGACCCGTACCACGACCTGGTCAAGGAGGAGCTCAACATCATCCAGGGAGCGCTGGAGCTGAGGACCAAGACGGTGGAGGACGTGCTGACGCCGCTGTCCGACTGCTACATGCTGTCGTCGGACGCCGTGCTGGACTTCTGCACCATGTCCGACGTAATGCAGAGCGGCTTCACGAGGATCCCGGTCTACGAGAACGACAGGTCCAACATCGTGGACATCCTGTTTGTGAAAGACTTGGCCTTCGTGGACCCTGATGACTGCACCCCTCTGAAGACCATCAACCAGTTCTACAAGCACCCCATGCACTGCGTGTTCAACGACACCAAACTGGATGTGATGCTGGAGGAATTCAAAAGAGGTGAGTCCATTTCCATTCGTGACCTCTGATAAACTGCTTCAAAGAGGTGTCATGTGATATGGTGCAGGCTCAAGGTTTCCTCCTGAGAGTCTATTGAAGACTTCAGTGGAGAAGTCATCCCTCCATTGACACGCAGTTGGCCTAAACCTCTGAGGACCATATGTGAAATCTGATATAGTGTCACACAGTGATCCTGGTTCAAGCAGAGGTTAGAGGCTACAATGGAGCAGGATGGGGTTAGGCCAGCTTAAGAATTTATGTAGTGAAAGTCATTTTCCCAGGACAACAACTCTGTGAACTTCATCTAACCCCCATCTCCCCTTTCTTAATTCAACCGGCTGAGTTGGCCTTCAGCAGAGGGAGAACACTTTACTCTGATAAGCATCGCTGCTGATAAGTGCGTTCACAGTGTAACTGTCTCTCATACACATGCAGCGATAGCATCTGTTCACTACTGAGCAGAAAGTGTGCTGCCTCTCTCCAGGGACTCCATTCAGTCTGCATGATAACACTGAGTGGGATTCTGAATTCATGCTCTGTATAAAGCCAAACAGCTCAAACTGCTCCTGTGACAGCACCACATGTTAAAGTAGAGACATACTGTGACACACCGAAGCTGCTGGATCAAAGGTTACGTAAAGATTTGACATTGGTCGATGCTGCGGAGGATTAAGATGTAAATCTGTCTCATTGACAAAGGAGTGTTAGTGTCAGTGTTTCTCCAGTCAGTGTGTGAGAGATGGCACACATGAGGCTGGATCATGAGTTGGATTACCACTCACAGCTCAGGGGGGTCTTCAAATTGTCCAGCATTGTGACTGATAGCTTTGTGGTCCATGAGCTCATGTTTTGAAAATAAAGGGGGAAAGGTCGCGTCAGGCGTCACCTTTAGATTATTTGTGGACACCTAATTGTCAGCCTGTGGTGACTTTGAACATTCTTCCTCTCAGTGGGTCGTTGCCATCCAAGCCTGCAGAGCGATCCATAAAAAATTCAGCTCCGACCTTTTTCCCTCCTTTCCACTTGGCTCTCATGGATTAAAGGCTCCTGCTGCCCAGGAAGCCATGGCTGGAAGCTGTGAGGATGCCTCACTGAGAAGGGTGACGGCCAGGGGTGAGGTCAGTGTTGGAGCAGAGGAGGCAAATGTCATCAGTAACTGTGAACATGCTGTGCAGTGGGAAAGTATATGGCAAGCTATGCTCTGTAATTTATGCACTTATGCTTTCATGGTATGACAGTTTTATGAGAAAACTAAATCTGGTGCAAATGTTTTACTCTGTTAGGATGAGACGTTCCATCATTTTCTTATGTAAAAGTGGCTCAAGTAATACACCACTACAAAAACTCTCCAATTCAAGTAAAAGTCATGCATGGTTACATTTATTTGAAGAATTATTTACGAGAATGGCACTAACCTCTGTTAAGACTCAAAAGTTCAGTTAAATTCAGTCAATCTGCACTAAATTACACAAACTCATAATTGATTTGAAATGAAAAAGTCCCATCATGCAATGTTGATCAAGTTGGAGCCATTACATACACTGTTAGACAAGTTAACTGATTGCAATGTACTGCAAATGTTATTAACCGATTATATATATATAGTCTAAATCTAGGAGTGAGATAAATGCTGTGGAGTAAAAAATACAATATTTGTAGAAGTATAAAGTACAAGGACAAAGAGTTCTACATGTTTTAGGTTAATTTCCACCAGTGCGTACAACTCTGCTAAAAATATTGATACAGTAAGAAATAAACATACATACTTTTATGCACATCATAGATGGCAGCCATTATTATTTTAGAGACTAAATGTGTGCATGGATTGTTGTGTCTGTTAGACAGGAGGAAAAAAGAGCTGCTGCAGTGATATAAACAATGCATGAGTTCAGCGTAGGGTACTGTATGTACAATATGGCTGCAAATATGCAGAAAACACAGACAGCAAACAAACACAATCATATGCACATGTATTATGACTGATCTAAATCAAACACACGGAGTGCAAACATGAGCTGGAGGAGCCTGGGAAAGTGGCGGAGTTGAGACATTTGAAAAAGGAACATCCATGGCTGACCCAGTTTTGCCCCGGGCCTGTGTGTCTGCATGTGTGAGTCTGTTAAGTGAGTGCGCGTGTGTCTGCGTGTGTGTGTGTGCATGCGTGTGTGTGCATGCGTGCGTGTGTGTGTGTGTGTGTGTGTGTGTGTGTGCGTGCGTGTGTGTGTGTGTGTGTGTGTGTGTGTGTGCGTGCGTGCGTGTGTGTCTGTGCTCTTCTGGAAGAGTGTTATGTAACATAAAAATGATGTAATGCAGTGCCCGGGCACATTAGCAGCTGAGGGCACATCCACCTCTGACTCACCTGAGCTCTTCAGACAAGCTGACCTGAGAAAAACCCTCGTCCATCTCAGCCAATCTCACACAGCCACAGTCTCATGTTTGGAGATGGCCGTCAGTCAGTCAATCAGGATTTTTTTTCCCTCCCCTTGTTGCAGTGGATTAAAGCTTTTGATCCATTTTATCCCTTGGCGGTGATCCCCCCCTAAATCGGCCCGTCTCATATGAGCTGCTGATTTTGTTCGAAGGGAGGACAGAGGCTGTTTATATGTTTCTGCTGAAATCTGCATCCTGACGTCATACATGTGGTTAGATAACTTATTTTGTCAGCGAGGTAGTGACGTAAGAAAAGCAAGAATTTATCTTAATGAATAACTTGATTTTTTGAAAATAAAATCATCTACATGCAACACAGCCAGTTCCTGCTGTAGCAAGTGGAATGGTCTCGGCCATTGTGACTGTTTTCCTGTGATGTTTAGTGGCGACGTTGATTTCCTGTCACATTTGCTTTATCGTCTCGTTCCACAGACGCTGCTGGCGAGTTGTGTGTCATCGTATCTGGCAGGCGCGCCATGTTCACCCAAACACTGACTTGAGTGGGAACAGGGTCAGCTCATGGATGTGTAAAGTGTGTGTGTGTGTGTGTGTGTGTGTGTGTGTGTGTGGTGTGTGGATGACATGCGTGTACAGTATGTGTCGCTGCAGGGCTGGCAGCAGCATGGGCAGTGTATGCAGCAGATGCAGGCATCCCCAGACCGATGGTGTAATGGCAGTGTTTACGTAATGGGCCAAGACTCCCACTGTCAAAGTGTCTCCAGACTAATCCCCCAATGTCCACTTACTTTTTCGTCTAAGTCTCTCACACACACGGAAAATAATTGCATATTCAAGCCCCGAGACGGACCCTTTCCTGTGTTTATAGCACGTCAGCTCCTGTTGGTGTATTAATGCTGATTTTCATCTTGACTGCACTGTTCCAATTGGAGGCTGTCGACTTATTTTTATTCAGTGACGTTGCCTCTACCTCTGCCTCTCCACCCAATGATTAGCAGGGGCTCATATTTTGAAAACACTTGAACTCACCCTTTTTGCTTTGTCGTGCAGGTAAATCCCACCTGGCCGTGGTGCAGAGGGTGAACAGCGAGGGCGAGGGAGACCCATTCTACGAGATGATTGGCATCGTCACCCTGGAGGACGTCATCGAGGAAATCATCAAGTCTGAGATTGTGGACGAGACGGACCTGTACAGTAAGTACAAAGTGAAAAACATGCTGATTATGAAACTGTGAGGTTTTAAAGTGACCGTTGATGTGAATCAATTTATTTTTTCCAGCTCCCATGCTGAATAGATTTTCCCTCAGTTCGTCACAGCTGCTGACAGTTTTTTCTGCTCTGGGTCCGAAACATCACTAGGAAATTCAACAGAACATTATTAGGGATGTTATAGTAGAATTAGTACATTGGAATTTAAAGTCTTTCTTCTCTTCTGTTTCTCATTAAACTATTGATCCCTCCATCCCACCCCTGCTGTTCCTTCCTAATGCATAATTAAATCATGTGAATAAATGTCCCAGTCTCACAGATAATCACCATAATCCGCTCATCTTTAATTGGCTGGAAGGAAAGACTCTCCACAGAGCGGAACTCAAATGCCAATACCCATTTCATTTCACTTCTAATCTGCTCGACACTTTCTTGCCACAGACTGAATTTCACTATTTACATTTAGGGGAAAAAATCATGTGCTTTTATTAACTTTTAATTATATGCTTCTAAAAAAAACCTGCTCCCAGAAGAAAGTGACATATAATTCTATTGTGTGCTGCAGTTTTAATTACATGCAGATTTTGTGGAGCTCCCTCTGTCATAGGTGCACGTGTGTGTGTGTGTGTGTGTGTGTGTGTGTGTGTGTGTGTGTGTGTGTGTGTGTGTGTGGCTGCATGTGCATAATTATGAGCGTGTATAGTTAATATATTTATACCAAATTGGGAGCTAATCTTTCCAGACTTTGCACTTCAGGCATTTATAGCACCATCTGTTCCTGCTGCAGCTATGATGCATTTAATACTATATAGTGTATTAATCATAGACTGTATATAAAGAGGTATTAATACACATAATCTAATCTGTAGAGAATAAATCTGTTTTTCAATGAGAGCTGTAAATATCTGTAACTAAAATCACATCCATCTGTGGTGTTTGTTAGCATGATGCATAAAAAGCTGCAGTGACTAATAAGATCAGTGAGATGTCAAAGTCAATGCTAATTCCTTGTAGTGCATGAGTAAACTGTATTTATGTGGATTATCTCATAAACCAAATGAATGAAAGAGAAACACTTTTCCCTCACTCGGCTGCTATCAGAGCATAAATGTGTTCACCGTGTGTTCACAGCTGATAATAGGAACAAAAGACGAGTGTCCAACCACGAGAGGAAGCCACAGGATTTCTCCATCTTCAAACTGGCAGAAAATGAGCTGAAGGTGAAGGTCTCGCCGCAGCTGCTGCTCGCAACGCACCGCTTCTTGGCCACAGGTAGCATTGCATGTGTGTGTTCATGCACGTGTGTGTGCATTGTATGCAGATTACATGTGAACATTGTATCGCAGGATAGAACAAGGATAAGGACACATAACAGGGACCTTGGTGTTCTTTCTCTCACTCTTGTTTTTGTGCGCGTGCACTCGTGTCTACATGAATCCGTCTTGCAGAGGTGGAGCCCTTCAGGCCGTGTCACCTGTCAGAGAAGATCTTGCTGCGTCTCATTAAACATCCCAGCATTGTGCAGGAGCTCAAGTTCAACCCCAAGAACAAGCACGCTCCTCAACACTACCTCTTCCAGAGAAACAAACCCGTGGACTACTTTGTCCTCATCCTGCAGGTGAACCGACAAAAAGGGAGCGAAGCTGTGTTTGGTATTGTTATAGTTATAATAAGTGTTATTTCCTGTGTGGGAAGCTCCATTAGACGAGTAATCAATTCAGAACTGACATCATGAGGCTCAGACCTTTATGTGTAAATGGCTTTGTTAATGTTACAGGGGCGGGTGGAGGTGGAGATCGGAAAGGAGGCTCTCCGCTTTGAAAATGGAGCTTTTTCCTATTACGGCATGCCAGCACTCATTCCACCCCTGCCTATCAGTAAGTAAGCATGCACATGAAGCGATATGGCTCAATAAGTCTGGGGCACTCACATTGAGCATGATGGTGATGATGACGACAATAACAGGGAGAGATCTGCTCATAAAGCTAATGCAATACAGGTGCTGGACGTGTTTTTACAGTCTGAATCCCTGCCAGTGTTTGTGCAGCATCACTCTGCTGCAGCAGCAGCAGCAGCAGCAGCCGTGGGAAGTAAGTAATTAAAAGAAGTGATTTCAGAGAATTTCCCAGTGGAAGGACATGACCTGCACAGGATTATATGAAATCCAGCTAAGACTGCAGAACAAGTCTGTCTCTCTCTCTCCCCCTCTCATGTGTGATGTTCGGGGGGGGGCTTAAAGCTATTTGGAAGACCCCATTAAAAAAAGGGATTTTTTAATGGGGTCTTCCAAATAACTTTAGATTAAGATTAATCTAAAGCTATTTGGAAGACCCCATTAAAAATCCCTTCGTGTGTCCTTACAGGATACTGAAAGTACTCATCAGCAACATCTCAAAAGAGGTGTTTTTTACTGCTTTGAAAAATCTCTCTCTCTGAGTCGTTGCTTTACAATGGACTTGACAAGAGCAGCATTTCTCCCCAAGCATTAGCAGCCAGTGCTCGGGGAATGGAAATGATCTTCTCCTGTATGTCTAACACCATCACCCAACTTAGTCGATACTAATTTTATGTATGTTCACTGGAAATCTCTCTTTTCCCTCCTCTCTCTTTTTATTTGTTGTGTCTCTAAAAGCACGGTGCTATAAAGAATGAGATTATATTGTTACCAGTGTGAGGAGAGGGTCTGTCAATAAGCTGCTTGTGTTGAAATAGGACATTTCTGTGTGAATAAATGGGCAAGAAGAGACAACATTAACTCAAACTTTATAAACCCTTGGAGAAACACTTCTAAGTAGTTTAAATTTTGTAACATGATCATTCTCATTTTATAAAGATACTTTCTATACTTACATTTTGATGGATTTGCAGTGAAAGGTGATGCACATCTGTTTCCTTCCCATGATAGAAGAGCTGCAGTGTAACATGTAACTGCTTCACTCCTGTGAGCTGAACAGAATATTGTCTTCTGCTGTGTCCAGGTCACAGGTACAGTTCCCGCGGCAGTGGTCTGAACCAATCAGATTCATTACTGAGTGGAAGCAGTGTGGGTCAGCTGACCACAGGAGGAGGGATCTACTTACCAGACTACTCTGTTCGACAGCTTACGGACCTGCAGATCATCAAGGTCACACACATAAATGTCTACATGTACACGAAACAGAGAAAAAGCATCATGCCGTGATGATGTATATAACTAGACTGACACTCAGTACAGTGGATATCTCTGCCGAGGCCCGACAGCCTCCTTATGAATCCACATATCAATTCAATGGATCAGGATTTTTATTTGGATCTGCACCAGATTGCACACACTCATAAATATCGTTCTCCTGGGTCATGCTTCATGCCTCAAAATATCATTGAAATCAGTTTGGTAGCTTTTGAGTAATCCTGCGAACAAACAAACAACTATCAAACCATATCGACCGTGGCGGAGGTAATTTCGCTACAATTAAATATATAATTTCCTGGTTGCTGAAGGGAACATTTGAGAGCACAAATAAAAACAACTGCAGCTCTCACAGCTAAATCTTCAAAATTCCCCAAAATGCAAACTCTTCCTCTGCTGCAGCGTTTCCCTTTGAAATGTCTCAATCCCCGTTTCTGACTGAACGCAGACATCCTGTCTCTCTCTCTCCCTCCATACTCCCTCTTTCCTCTAATCACTGCGGGTAATTGTGCTCCAATTGAACCATGAATATTTTAGCTTCAAATGACGGATGTGCCCTCCCACTTCACCTCTCACCATTACAGTCCAGGTTTCCTGCTCGTCCACACGTACTGCAATTGTGTACAGTAATCAGCCGTCCACATGCAGATCTGATGCTCATGTTGAAGAGTTGCTTTCTGTTTCGCCACAGATCACCAGGAACCACTACCAGAACGCCCTGATGGCCACCAGGATGGACAGTTCCCCTCAGACACCGGACCCATTGGATCCTGATGCCAAAGGGAGGCCTCCGGGCCCAGAGGCTCGCTCGCACAGCATCGCCCTCCCTCTCACACACACGCACACTCGGATGGGGCTGGCTCGCCTTGCACATCTCCATCCCCACGGCGCCCTGCGCAACACGTCCCAGCTCAATGAAAGAAACCGTATCGTGCGTAAGTAGAGAAGCTTAATAACAGTACAGGTATTATAGAAACTCTGCATTGGAAGTTATAAATGTTTTCTCTTGATAAATTGGGAAATGGTTAATATGATTTCGTAATAGATAGAAACTCACTCAAAATAATGATGCTCAAACAGTGTATAGTTTACCCAGTTCTTCCTATCCATTAGCATCATCTGTCAAAATTTACTTTCATATTTCCATAAGCCCTTTGCTCAGCATAAGAATTGCTAAGAGCAGTACAGCACTTAACCTGCAAGCTACACCAAGTCCCTGAAATTTAAATGACAATCCAGCTCCATGAGGCTCAATATGAGGTTTCTTTTGAAAAAGAAGAAAGAGGAGGCTCAAAGAATCAAACACACTGATTCATGGGCCGAGAACCTGTCTGACAGGACCAATACATGATTGACCTAAAGATATGATACTTCAGTAAAAAAGAATTCTGCAAAAAGCCCAAAAGTACAGTGGCCCTGAGAGCTCAAGTTAAGGAAACGTGCAAATAGACACAACACATGGAAATGGAGAAAATATTATCAACTTGTCAACACGTGTGACATAAGAAATATGCTCTACAAATACCCACAACACACCAACCAATATATACATAAGTATATAATACTAACAAGACTGCCAAATACTCACAACACAACTGAATTGTTTTCTGTATTTATATGTATTTTCTTAAGTTGCAGTGCTTTGAGCTCTCAGGGCCACATAACCAAAGACTAATACCAACCTTTTAAAAACAGAAGATAAAAATCATGAGAAAAAATTAAAAAATGTTGAATAATTAATCAAAGTTCACACACGATGATGTCCCTCAGGTCACTGTTCGAAGATAAGCTCTTATATACACAATTAAATTAAATAATAAAGAGCACAAAAGACAAATAGCTTTCATAGTTTTCCACTATATTTAAGATTTCTGCAAAGAAATAATCCTATATTTTTGAACACAGACTGTGGCTCATTCACACAAAACTGGTGCAAATGTGGCATCAACCTATCAGTACTGGTTTCAAGGCTTAAAGGATTTCCTTCATACCATCTGTCTTACACTGATTGTAACATGCAACCTACTTTGTGTACGTTTGTCTTACTGACATTAAGGAAATTCATTGGACAGATGTTTCTGTTGGTTGTCAATGGAAAAGTGTCAGGTCATAAACTGCAGATTGAACCTGTTGAGCCTCCTCCATTAGTTGTAGTCCAGTATTACTTGGATTTGAAACCTCGTATTTTTAACGTATTAACTGTTTACCACTGAAACATTTGACACTGACTGATAAACAGTAAGCTCTCTACCTCCCTCTATAGGCAGAGCTACAAACCAGTCGCTGTTATGTGGCTAGTTGCAGCTGGATTAGAGCTGATTGGTCTAATTCTCTCCTCACAGGCAGTAAATCTGATGGGATGAGGAGTCCCAACGATACTGTGTTCCTCCGCATGGATGAGATTCCCTACATTCACGAGGACAGACCGGAAAGTTATGGAGAGGATGGTGAGTGCTGATCCAGAGTCCATGACTAAGGACTAAAAAATCAATTTAGTCATAATTCAATGATTTAATCACAAAAGTACATAAACGTGCTTGTAGTCTACTTCTGCCCACTCTCGAAATAAAGAATCTCAGGAACCTAAGAGGATAAAGAAAACAAAACAATGAGCGATTAATTTGTAACTGAATTCTCAGTTTTAAATATATTGATGTGACAACTTTTCTTCGTGCTCCGTACCTACATCACTATAGGTCTGTTTTTGTCATTTCCGCTGTATCCCCTCCATCTTGTTCTTATCTCTTTTCAGATGTGCCTACTGAGTCTCAGCCGTCCACCTCTCCCCTCATCAGTTCTCTGTCACTGTCCAGCTCCGAGGAGACCATCGGAAAGAGACTCTTGCGTAAACTGAGTGAGTGAGACATTTGTCGCAACACTGACGCATTGCCAGCGCACCACCACCCACACACATACCGTCAGATGTGCCCAAACTTTCCAGTCAGGCATAGCACCAGCAGCAGGTGTATCTTAGCAACAGGTGATGTGTCATGTCCCTCAGCTGCGAAACCTGCAGAGCGGATTCTCTAGATGCAGCCGTCCTTGTTACTCAGAGACGATGTGACTAATCTATTTCTATTCATTCTTCTGAGGACTTTTTGTGCAGCAGATCTTATTGAGGAGGTTTGAGCAAGGTGGCTTTAGTTCAGAGTAAAGCAAATATAAAGAGAGAAAACTGCTACAGTTTCCAGCAGGTAATTAACCTGTGATGACCTGAATTGCAGCATCTTCTCCGTTCCTAGGTAACAAAAGGAGGAAAAAGTCTCGGGACGGAGAGAAGAGTTTGGAGGAGGGCTCAGAGAAACCACCAGTGACGAGCTAGCACAGCGGCACAGAGGAAGAGGGATAAAGCCCACATCTTTCTCCTCGTCATCCACCTCAGTAAATAACTGCCCCTCTGTAGACTCCCTCCTCGACTCTCAGGAGACTGAGCCATCCTTATCCTTTCTGCTGTAGACGCCGATAATTCTCAGGTCCCCACTGACACACACTCTGTCCCACCTCTCACCCTTGATGATTACTTGGACGTATTGGATTTAACAAGCCTTACTCTGGACTGCACGGATCCTAGCAGGTTTTACTCACATGTTTTGTAGTTAATGGGGCAAACAGTGTCCACCTCACCTTTTTAATGGTTGTTCTATTCATAAACATTTAATCATCTTCATTCATGACATATGTGTTACTGAAACTGATTCATAGCTTGTAATTTTATTTAAGGAGATCAAGCTCATCATGGTCTTTAGAGACAGCTTTTACTTGAACAATGAATACACAAGTATTGATAATGTGTCATTATGGGGAAGTTCCCAAATACTGAAAATGTTGTTTGCACAGGGAACTGTCCTAACTTTGCCACGAGGCTGCCACTGACTGCCAACACAACCCGACACACGCATCAGCCTCCCGGCAAGAGCACAATTTTTTACACCCGGTTAAAAGAACACAGTTATTCTTAAAAAGCCATAAATGAATTCACAGCTTGAATGACTTCCTTTTTGTGCACTGACCTTTCTGCAAGTGTAGAGAGGAATGCACAATCCTGAAAAAGAAAAAACAACAGAATTTCTTAATTGATTTTTATACAAGTGCCAGAATTACTTCAAGTAATATTTCAGATAGCAATATAAGTCATCGCACATGCTGTAAAATGCTTGAATTCATCACCACAATACCACATACTTAAGTTTTCAGGACCTAACTGCAGACACAATTGCACACACACATGAGACGCCTGGAAAACAACAAGGGCTGGGAGAGACTAAAATAACTCAGAGCAGGGAGCTGGTCCAACAGAAAACTTTTCAGAAGAGGAGTCAGAGCTCTGAGGCTCAAACACACAGGGGAGGAAGGGATAATTGGGCACAGGTGGAACACTACAAGGTGGGGCGTATAGTCTCAAAAGAGAGAGAAAAATAGACAAAGACAGGAAGTTAAACATCCAATAAACACAAGATAAGATATCAAAATACAGGAAATAAAAAGGGTTAGTCTAAAATTCCAAAGAATCACTTTAGAAGTCCCTGTAGGGACAGATCATGACACATACATGAATCTTTCTAAACTTAAATGCATGTTATTAATTTACTTTCTGTCTGTTGTCCCATTAAAACTCACCTTTCTCTAGATGTGGCTGTATGGTCACAGCCTCAGTGTTCACGTCGCCACATTTTCCCTTCATGTTATCACATATTTAAAGAAATCTTTAGCCTCTGTTAATGGCACATCATCCCACCGATAGACAATTTCATTTCTTACCATTAGCTACCACGTTTCTATGTAGTTTGTCTCTCATGGGGTCTGTCATTAAGCTGTGTACACTATTTTAAAATAAGCTATGGGGTTTGGGGACTTGGGTGCAACTCAATGAGTGTTCTTGAAGAAGAGTAGTTGCTATACTTGCATGTTTGTTAACGCTGCTTCTTACCTTACACTATTCCCCCTGTAGAAACATGTGCATGCTTATATAAGAGGATGCATGAGTAGGATGATACTGATCTGCACTGATGTCTCCCCACAGAGGTTCAGTGTGTGACATACTGAAATCTTACACTATACCGTAGATATTAAAATGAGGTCCAGAGAGGTTTAACTTAGAGTTGAGAAAAAAAGCAGAGCTACATAAAGTGTTTTTTATAATAATAATGTTTTAACTGGTACTACTAACCATCGACTGTATATAAAGATTTATAACGGGTTTCCCCTTAGGATCCAGAAATGAAGCCAAATTGTCTCAGATACGATGGCGCCATCTTGTGCCTAAGGTGACATCTGGAGCCAGAGTCTGATGGTGCCATGGTAGCGAGGTCCCACCGGTACATGCACTCGACCAATTACAAGTCCTAAAACATTAGCTTGTTTTTTTGATTTTATGATCAAATAAGTAATTTAAACCGAACATACTGGTAAAATGAGCACATACACTAGTGTGATAAGAACTGCAGTACATAACAGAAACCATCTGTGAGAAAAAAGTATTTGACGTGTACTTTGACCTCTTAGTTAGGTCCATGTCCCATCCACTAACCTGGAGGAGGTGGGGAGTTTTTGACTATACTGCAGCCAGCCAGCCACCAGGGGGCAATCAGGACTCTCTGGCTTCACTTCTGGGGAGCCGTCATCGCATCCATCTCTATATACAGTCTATGCTATTAACACACAAGGGTGGGGGCTTTAGGGGGAAGTGAGGTCAAAGGAAACTAGGAACTGAGGAGGCCATGAACGCTGCTCACTGAGGGAACTTTAAAGCCATTCTTATAGAAAAGAAAAAGTGCAATAATAACCTGATTGGTTAGATCTTTAATAATAAAGTGATAATGTGATTGTTTCTAACTGGTGAATCTTCAGGCACAAGTTGGACTGTGCTTCTCTGCATTGTGAAATCTTGGCAGGTACTCTGCTCCAGAGATCAGTCAGAAGTACGTACGAAAGAGGAAAGCAATATGACGCACGCTGACGTCAAGCCACCACCTCCTCTCAAACACACACACACTCACAGGTGGTGTTTGGGGACACTCAGCGATAGAATTCATTCTGCCTGGTGAGGCTGTGGAAGTACAAAGGAGACTGCACTGCTAAGCTATTCACATTGAGCTGTCTGTATACACTGAACACACAGGCGGAGGTCTACTGATGTGACCACTGACTCAGAGCCAGGAGGATTTGTGTGAATCAGAAACTGTCGCAGCTTTCACAGATTTTGCTGGTTTACACTGATTTATATTCATAGCTGCAAGAACTGTTTGTACAGGATGAACCGGCAAAGTCACATTTTGTAAGGTAAAAATTATATAAGTTGCCCAAAGATATAAAGGGAAAGACCATATGCTCGGCACAAGGGGAAAATGAATTATTAATAAATTAACTGAACTACTATTTGTGAACTTTTTGTTTCTGTTTCTGTATTTGTCTATTTCAAAGTACATTGTGTCTTTCAAAGGGTCACTCACTACAAATTATTTGTACAGAGGCTTGTGAGGGCTGCTGCATCGATACAAACCTTATCCTTAAACCCATATAGACTCCAAAATATATGAGAACAATACAAACACTATTAATAGTTTTTATTAGAATAGTTAAAATGTCATTTGAACTTCTGAAGTGGACATTTTCAGATTCTGGTCACTTTCTAAACAGTCTGACTGCTGCAGATTGTGTACTGAGAACTGCACAGCGTACAATAGCAAACTGGTTGATCATGAGTGTGTTTGTGCAATTGACTCGAGTCTTACATAATAGTTCAGACGATCACTGTGCAAACTAACAACTCAACGTTCAACCGGCAGCAAAAAAACACTGAGATGACTTTCAGGGCAGTTCAGTGCCACAGAATACAAACACTGCATTAATAATGATTAGAAGTGAGGAAATTAGTGGAGGACAGTATCATTATTAAATTTCAAGTTTAAAATATCTTCCTGAGCAGCTCTTATTCACATTTCATCGAGCAATAAACATAATACAGCTACTTCATTCATGACAGAGGTGGTAAACGCTTCCTTATCACAGCTCCATTGGGTCAGTTTGGTCATGCTAACAGCTAATAGCTGTTATATTGTTACTTATGCAGGCTATTCCTGCAAGCTAATTGGAAATGTGTGGTTAACACTTGGAATGGATGAATGAATAGTATGACATTCAACATTTTTAGACAGGAGAGTCAGCACTAAGATAATCGTAACACAGTCACAGATGTAACGCTCTTGTCCTAGTAATGAACATAATCATTAAAAGGAATAATTAGATGAGAGGATCAATATTTAAACCACCTTCTCTGTTTTCAGCAGAGACGTAGGTCCTGGGTGTGTTTAGTCTAGCTTAGCACAAACACTGAAGAGAAGAGGGACACGGAGACAATGAGCTGTCTGTATATTTGTGCAAATGAGATGTTTGCTCCAGGAAGTCTACTGGATACAAGCACAGTCCCTGGCATGAGGACGGCTCTGGACAAAGTGCTTGGAAATGTGGGTAATGTAGTCTTCTACTGGACCTTGGTGACGGCCTCGTGGATGGACTCGGCCACGTAGTTGATGTTCTTGCTGGTCAAACCACACATGTTGATGCGACCGCTGGCCATTAAGTAGACATGTTTCTCCTTCACCATATATTCCACTTGTTTGGCTGCAAGAAAAAAACATAAAGAACCAGATTTAATTATCTTGATAAGTAATGTGATAGTTTAGAGATCCTGTTGAAATCTCTGTGCGTATCAAATATCTTGTGTTGCATTATGAACAAATGCTTTAACTTCTGCACAATGAATCCATACAACGTCTGAGATACGCAATACCTGGGTTATTTGTTTACAAATTTTTCACTTCCACTGAAATTTAAACATTTATCAAGACTAGACCTTCAGGGTGCAGCCGAGTTCAGCATTTTTTGTGTAACTGTAGAAATATGAAGCACTGAATACTGTTCTCGTTTCTATGGGGATGTGTGTGTGGTGGGTTTGTTTGTGAGAGATAAAACATTTTCTGTGTATATGGTCTTTGCACTCACTGTTGAGGCCAGTGAAGCTGAACATGCCAATCTGCTCTGTGATGTGGTCCCACGTCCCTGGTGTCCCCAAAGCCTGGAGCTTAGCTTTCAGCTGAGCCCTCATCAACAAGACCCTGTCAGCCATGGTCTTCACATTGCCCTTCCTGGAGTCAAAGACGTAGAAACAAGTCAGTACCCGTCAGAAAAAACACTTTATATCAACACTTCCTGATTCTTTAGGTATATATTGTGCCGACCATTCAGTGAAGAGCTCAGGTGAGTTTAATGTGACAGCAACAATGCGTGCTCCCTGAGACGGGGGGTTGGACCACGTGGTCCTGACGATCTTCTCCATCTGGGACAGAACTCGCTTCAGGTTGTCTGCATCATGGGCCACGATGGTCAGGTTACCCACACGCTCATCTGATGGGACAAACATATCACATTTAAAACCATGTTGTAGCATGTACTTTACCTGTAGATGGCGACATTGATTAATCTTAATCTCATGTAGTCTAGAGTCTAAATTGCTGCTCAGAACTGCTGGCCTGTGTGAAGCTGCTATGATTAAACAGCCCCCCTCTGGACAATCTACAACTTGCTAAATTAAAATCTTTGAATATATTTATTATATCTTTTCACATAAAGACTTCTCTTCAGTTACATGCAATGTTGTAATTGGCCAAACAAGCAGCATCTTGTGGCTTCTATGTCAAGTTCAACAATGAAAAAGCAAGTAAACTATAGTTTTCTGGGTTTTCTCTGCACAATAATCTAAATTCAAGGCTTAGCTTTTATTCTGATTTGAAAATTAGGCCATATAAAGCAGCTCATAGCTTTCATTCTGTTTAACAACCAAGAATGTCACTCTTGATCAAACTTTTACAAGCACACGATGCACAACACAACGCACGCCCGGGTCACTCACTGTAGAGGCCAAAGTTCTTGGAGAAAGACTGAGCGCAGAACATTTCAAAGCCCATGGAGACAAAGTAGCGAATCGCCCAGGCATCTTTCTCCAGGCTGCCTGAGGCGAATCCCTGATAAGCTGAGTCAAAGAACACAAACAGCTTCCTCCTCTGGAAAAGAACAAGATCAAACCATCATCACCCTGTGATCGACACTGAGTGTGCTTCAACTGACACTTGTGTTAGTAGTGGGACAAGAGAGCAGACATTGTGAGTGTGTGTAATATACCATCATAACTTCAGCGATCTGCATCCATTGCTCCTGTGTGGGGTCTGTGCCAGTTGGATTATGTGCACAGGCGTGCAGGACAAAGATAGACTGTTGTGGACAACTCTGTAGGAAACAGACGAGAAGAAGAGGTGCTGTGAACTCCTTTTGACCAAAGATAATTACACGAGTCCTTATCACACAGCTCTTACCTCTAAGTCACCAAGGAAACCAGCCAAATCTAGGCCCCTCTTCTCTGCATCCCAGTACTTGTATGGACGAACGTCCTCAAAGCCAGCATTGGCAAATACAGCATTATGATTTTCTGAAACAAGGATCACAATGTTCTCTCATTTTACTGTATATATTTGCTAAGAATAAAATGTTGAATATTGTTTTGTGAATGTTTCTGACATCTGAACTGATTAATAAACCACTATGCTGACATCAAACTCTAAAGTCTGTGGTGAGTCTAAAGATCAAAGTCCTTGAGTAAGGAGACTTTCTAGGAAGCATGTTAATTTCAACTCTGTGCTACGACACTGTGTGTTTGTGTTTGCGTGGACGTACCCCAGGTAGGTGCGGACACATAGACGGGTGTTTTGGTGTTGTTGCTTCCGTTGTGGAAACGCCTGAGAAACTCAGCACCCATCTTCAGAGCACCTGTGCCGCCCAGACACTGGACAGCTCCCACCTGGCAGTGACGGACACAGACAGTAAGTATAAATGTGAATATGTGAAAAACTATAACATCTTATGGTCTTATGGTCACACGAACCCTGTTCTCCTGGATGGCAGGGCTGTCGTCTCCCAGTGCAATCTTGGAGGCAGCAGATCTGAACTCAGGAAGGCCCAAAATGGGGAGGTACTCGTGGTTTAGCGTTGCATCCTGCACAATGAGGTTTTCCACTTTTTTCACCACTGGTAAAACCCATGGCTTGCACTCATCTGTCCTGTAGGCTGAAAGGAAAAATGAAGGCAAACAAAAACATTTCACTTAGTCTCCATTAGTTTAGAGACACATACAGCCAACAGTGTATCTCACATATCTGAGCTTTGTCATGCTATTGTAACAGACACGAATTGTCACCTGTCTGTTTTAACCAGTTGAACTCTAGTCACCACCTGATAATGACTGTGGAAACACAATAACCTTTATACCTTCAGAACAAAGAGCAACATATTGCTTCACAGCTCACTAATAGATCTCAGGCAATTATCAACGTAGAACTAATAGAACAAGGCCAACAACTTACACATAGGCTGTTCTACCAAATATTTTCTAGGTTGATCGAACAAATTATTTAGTGTATGAAGTGTACAAAAGAGACAACTACGGATCACAAGATTGTAAATCCTCATGTGAAGGATTAAAAAACCCACAGATATTTACTCTATTGTCAAATAAAACTGAGAGAAGTATCCTGACACTAAGAGGTTGATACTAGCAAATCGAAATTTAAGTATTTCCACAATTCGTAATGAAGCGAAACAGCTGCTGGTTAATTTTCTGTAAACCTAATCATCAGTAAGGGACAATTTAATCAGCTTTAGATCTTTTACTGTCTTTATTATTTACTTGAATAGAGACCGTGTAGAAGGGAAGGGGAGAGGCTGCTGTGGTCAGGACACGTGGTGCACGCTCTACCAGGTGAGCAGATATGATAGATGTAGCTCAAGATATTGAGCGGCCTACATTTCCAAGTTTCCCCTGAGCCGACGACCATCTGCAGTGTAGTGTACTGTACAGCGAGAAGCGGATTACCAGACCTCAGCCTTCCAAACTAATCATGGGACTCAGGTAGCCTCATCCTCCTAATGCAAGCAACAAGGATTACTACGTCCAGTGAGACTAACACAGAAATGTGTTGTATCGAGGACTGAAATATGGAATTTGCTTGCTTGAGAAGAGAAGCAGGACTAATCCACACATAATTAAACTCCTGTCAGTAGCTTGCTCTTGCACCAATGAGGGGGCAGTAATCCAATCACCTCTCTGGTCCACAGCAGAGCAGGTCAATGTAGAGCAGAGGGAGAAAGAGAGGAGAGCGGCGAGGACAGGATCAGAGATGAGTGCTCTGTGTATTACACTGTTACATAACAATCAAACATTGACAAGGAGCTGCTCTGCTTTGAATGGATCAATGTTATTTACAATCGATAGGTTCTGATGAAAGAGTTAATGCTTCACTTCACAATCTCCCTGTCAGTCGAGAAATAACATTACAATCAAAGTGCACGACTGCAACTGTTACATCATAATAAACCTGCATTATAAAGACATCCTCTCCCTCTGGACAGATTACAGCGCTGACCACCGACTATAACCTGAATTTAAGACTTTAAGTTCTATCTAAATGTTATGGAGTCACACTTGTACATTAACACCATCTTCAAAATAAAACGTGCAACTATCTGCATAAACACACTGACAGCTTCGTCAGCTGGACGGCTGCTCGCTCCAGGGGTTCACCGACTCACCTCCCACTCCCAGGTTCACCTTGTCCGGACACTGGTCGTTGTTGAAATCCTGCGTCAGCTTGAACACAGCCACGGGGGCCGCTTGAGGAACCTCGCTGAACAGCGACATGACTGGAGTTAGTTTCACCGGAGGCTGTGGAGGAGTTGGCGGACAAGAGAGGTGCAGTGACCGGGAGAGAGGAGAGGAGAGGAGCCGCTGCTCCAGGGTCTGAGAGGAGGTGAAGTGGGCGTGAACAGATCCACCAATAGAAATGCAGATCCGTGTGTGTCCAGCCAATCAGCGAGCTGCTCCCGGTCAGGTCAAAGTTTAAGAGAGTTCGACCAATGAAGTGACGTGTAGCTTGAGGGGATTTCATTGCAATAAAAGATTTGGCCACAAGATGGTGCCACAACCCTGCTAACGAAGTTTCGTTAGTTTTCTGTCTTCCATGCATTACGTTACATTACGTTACATTATATCATTACATTATGCTAAATTATATTATATGACTTTATATATAATATTATATTTCATTATACTACATTACAATATATTACATTGTATTACATTACATTACACTAAATTATACTTCATTACTTACATTACACTAAATTATACTTCATTACATACATTACATTATACTACATTATATTATACAAAATCATACTTTATTACATTACATTCTACAGCATTATACTATAGTACCATATATTACATTACATTATATTAAATAACATTATTTATAAATAGTTGTTCATATAAAACAATTTATATAAAATAATAAACAGTTACTCACAGACAGGATTAAGTCTCTTTAACAGTTGAAGCTCTGTTTCAGAATGCCAGGCCACACATCCCACCATGTTTGACAATGTTTGAACACTGCCTGAACAGATACTACGCTTGGCCCCCACACTGTTTAACTCTATGTGGATGAATTAATGCAAGGATCTTTATCTGTTTTTTCGAGGGCTTTGGCTGAGCCATATCTTAAATGATCCAGCTCCTCTGCTTCTTCCCCTGCAGCTGTCGGCAGGAGCAGGGCTAGTTGATGAATGAAGGCCACTTCAACCTGCTCCCCATCCACCATGAGCAAAACTGTGTTAGGAAGCTTTTCAGCTGCACTGGAGGCAGAGCTCAGTGTGTTTGAGGCCTCAGTGATCAGTCCAGATGTTTCTGTCTGCTGAAGAAGAAGCGGCTGTTGCACAAACTAGTGACGTGGTTAAACACAGAGATGGAGGGAAGCATTAAGACAGTGTCAACTTCTAATAAAGGATAAACAAGTGGCTTTTAGTTGGGTGGTGAAATGTGATTCACAGAATTTACTCAGTGCAGTACTTCATTTACTTAATAATAATTCTGAGGTACTTGACTTGGATATTTCCATTATATCAGCTTTACAGCTCCCCTACATTTTCCAGGAAAACGCAGCTTTTACTGCAGCACAATCATTTAGCAGCCGTAGTTACTATCAGAATAGTTACTGAGTCACAGTTTATTATAATACATTAATTATAATATATGCATTGCGGCTACAGAGTATAAAGCAGTTAAAATTGGTTTGACTTATCTAGATAAAACAGTAGAATACTTATTATAGATAAACGTGGCAGTAACAATAAACTTCTTTAAACTATAAAATAATACAATAAAATGAAATGGGCAGTTTTTAATTACAAGTTAGTTACTGATAAGTCCTATTTACTCTTAATTAAACTTAATCAGTAATGAAGCTGTTGACTTTGTATAGCTTTACATATAGTGACGGTGGAATGCATTAAAGCAGTCCCACCTTAAATTAATGCATATTTCTTAAATGATTTATGAGTTGTAGTTAAGACCTTTATGGATGTTTAATACTTACCTAAAAACATGTCACCTTAAAAAATAAATGCGATCCGCTCAGTGTCCTGTCATTTGCGTGTTTCACTGTGCAGAATGATTTATGTGCACGGTTCGACACTGGACGTTTTTTTTTCACATTCATCTTCTGAAAGGGCAAAGTTTCTCTGTTCTCTCGTTAAACCTTATTGTAACATGTGTACACATATGTCTAGTTCACAGCCTCCAGTCAAACAGGAGACATATTGTGTCCAGCAGTTACATTTCTAAAACGGGCAAAATGTGCATATTCACAGGCTTTAAAAAATATATTAATCAATCACAAATTCTTATTCCAAGCAGCATATTTTCATGGGTTTTAAAACATGACTTGAGGAGATCTTTAACAGTTTATGGATCTGTCTTAACACTGTGATTATTCCTAATGTTTCTGTCATATTAAAACAAGGCTATTGCATGACCCGACCAAGTGTATTTGGTTAAGGTAGTTAAAAAGTGATCAATATTTCTTACTCTCAGTCAAATAATGTCATGGGGCTTAGAGTTAGTAATGGCTAATGAAACATGTCACGTCTCATTGTGATGAATCATCCAACTCTGCACTTTTCTGGTGTATTTCAGCTCATGACAACATCACTGTCTTGGATCAGTCTTATCACTACAATTATTTTTCTGTTTTATTTCTATGCAAAAAAACAAAAACAAAAGATAAAGCACAAACCACATAATTAAGGAAAATAATATAAAGTAAAAACATCAATAACCAAACAGAGTAAAACAGAAAATAGATTGCACATTATTTTTACGATCTGATAAAGCAACTGTAGACTAAACTGTCCAAATCCAAACAGCAGACATGCAAAGTGAATAACTAGCCTGTGAATACAGTTTAAAACATTGTGGCTCAAGAAGTAGATCTTTGTTCTTCGTAGTTGGAGCAAAGCAGCAGAACAAATAAAATGAGTAGTTGTGTTTTCTGTTCCCTTGATTACTATAAATCCAACAATTTCAAATAAATGCTATGATGTTGGTTTATACAAAGAGAAACCAGCGTTGTGTTTACATCTTGTTCCACTGACTGAAATGGCCAAAAGTACTACTTTAAACTCAGTGATAGTGGAATACATGAATAAATAACAAATCATTAAAAGGATCAATGAATGCTTTAGTTCAGGAACACACTGAGGTGAACAATCTAGGTTGTGAAAAATCAGTTCAACCCATAAATCTGCAGTTAATTGGACACTGTCTTGTGCCTGATAGATAAACCATGAATCAACACCTACTATTACAGCATCATTTACACCTCGTAATCCCACAGAGGGTTGACTTTACAAAGGTGATACAGTTAATCCTAAAACCAGTTATTATAGAACATCAAGTTACAATTTTCTCCCTCTGCGTTGTCCCAAAGGTTACTCACTTTCCCCACACCCGGTACCACCCCCACTCATCTCCTCGCTTCACTTTGACAGTAGATGTTTTCATTCTTTCCGACCAGGTGAGGGTTTCTTGTATGTTAGCTATAACTGTCAGCCAGGCAATTATGGGATTTGAGCTCCCAGAACAAGGCTCGGGGGCCCAGAGGAGGGTTTTGGTGTGTACGTATACCGGGATGTCCCGGGGGCCATGGTCTGCACTGTGATGTGAAGTGTGAGTCAGAGTGGGGAGTGACAGCAGTAGCCTGTGGCAAAACGGTGCCCAGAGGGAGAGTATGTCACATCAAGATGAATGCATTACTCAGCCAAAGATTCACAGAGCACTCACAGGAACTGTCTCTTTATTTCCTTGACGTTGATGAGTGGAACATTTATTTTGGCATCTAGCAGTCTAATGCAAATACAAGAAAAAAAGAGAAGTGCCAACAAGGTTTCTTTTATCAAAGTGTTTTCATTTTGACTGCATGCTGGTTATCACTGCTGCTGCAGGACACTGACACCGAGACACACAAAGGCACACATTCAGGCACAAGACAGTCACATTCCAGCTGTGGTACCACAGGAACACAAACAAGAATCATGTGCATGCACACATGCACACATGCACACA